TAATCAGGTTGATTCATATTAAATATGAGGCAGCCTGTCAAGTTTAATATATATATATATATTTAATATATAAAAAAATCACTGCAAAGAAACTGATATATTAAAAAAGACAAAGCCATACAGTCGGTCCTCGGTTCAACTGAGCAGTGAAATATGACAGACCGAAGGAGAAGAGCCTCAGTGTGGGGTCAGGCATGTGTTTGTCTTGACCACAGCATTGACTCCAGGTGACTGTAACTGAATCAGTCTATGTTTAGTGCACTCTCAACCTCAATAATCACAGTGTCGGGGTTAGCAGACTTTATATAATTAGGATGTCATTTGAGCCCTTTATAACTGAAAGATTCTCTGTGGTGCTCTGAGGATGCCAGGAGGACAATATATGGTTGTGCAATCAGTTACATTCACAGTATCCTGCCAACAAGTCGACCTGGTCACGTTGTACTAGAGACATGGAAGTAAACGCTAGAGGGCAACATGATACACACTGGTCACTTCGGGAAAAAACTAGGTCACAAGGATACATGACCCATCCCTTTTTTTTATGATGTCTCCTCCTCAACCATATCTTCTGAGGGACAGACACATTTCAGCCAAGGTCAAAGGTCAAAGGTGAATGCGCTGGTTTATTTCATATATATATATATATATATATATATATATATATACATACATCTATATATTATACAGGGTGTCCGCGTGTCCTTAAAAAGTCTTAAAATGTCTTAAATAACGTTTTCATAATATTTTTTATATATATATATATATATATATATATATATATATATATTCCACTATACATACGTCTGTATATGCACACACATACTGGAGGTCAGAAGTTTGGAATAAGGAAAAGAAAGTCTCTTATGATGCAATAAATTTTTATTTGATCAAAAACACAGTAAAAACAGTAATATTGTGAAAAATTTTTTTACAATATAAAATACCTTTTTTCTATTTTAATTTATTTCAAAATGTAATTTATTTCTTTGATGCAAAGTAATGGTAGCCTACTTACAAATGTTAAAAACAGTTTTTGCTTATTTTGTGTGTGTGTGTGTGTGTGTGTGTGTGTGTGTGTGTGTGTGTGTGTGTG